ATGAACCTTTCTCAAATCTAAAAACCCAAAGGAGGGAGACAGGATGACTTAAAAGCTTTCTCCCGCCTATGGTCACTGATTTGAATCTGATTCAGTTGATAGTGACAGAGTCACTACCATCTGATTCTTGTCAGTTGCCTCTGTGAAATGTGTTGGTGGTCATGTTCATATACTACTGGCCAGTTTGGCTATTTTAGAGTGACCAGGAGAATGGCTGAGGGAGACACTCCCGTCATGATTGTGAGGCATATTGGAAGATCAGGAAGAGGGAGCTTACGCTACTATCATTTTATACCCTTTAGTAGCTGTGCAGAACATGAGTGGAAGATTTCAGACTCATGCCCTCAGTTAATTGAATGTTAAATAGAGAGTACTTAATGCGTAAACTGGGAGTTAGTTGTACAGGTCTTGGAGGAACATTGTAGAAGGATGACAATAAAATGGAAAAAACATGCTAAAAATCTCATGTCCATCTTTCTTTCTTAGCACAAATGCTTAGTAAGAAATGCTTCATTTAATGACAGTTGTACATAATCATAGATATGCTGTTGCTATTATGAGAATGATCTTCTATTTAATATTTTAAGTGAAAAAACAAGTAAAAAGGAAGTTTTCTTATCCTTAAAGGTTGGGGCAAATCTCTCATTCCTTTGTCAATGATGTGAAGACTGCAGGATCTGGCCCTCCTGATTCAAATTCTTCATTAACACAGGAGTGAGAGTGCACTGGATGGCAGTAGCATCACTGTAACGGAACAGAGCGTACGAACTAGAGTAATTTATCATATCTTTTTCTAAAAGGAAATAATCTGACTTAAATAACTAGGTTATTGTGTAGTTATATATTTTCTCCTTTTCTTTCAATAAACTGCAGAGCCACACTGGCATAGTATTTTTAGCAAATTTCCTGCGTCTGGTGTTACTTAGTAGAAATGGGAAAGGAGATAGGATAAATGAGCCAGTGCAGCACTAGTTGCTCCATTCTGCAACTTGTCAAAATAGTTGCTCCAAAGTGCTATTCCACTGCAGCAATCTTTAGAAGTGAATAGGAGCCAGATATTTAAAGGTATTGTGGTGCTTAAAGATGAACATCGCTGCTTCTGAAAATCCCACTAGACTCTAAGGTGCCTAATCCAACTCAACTATTTTTTTAAAAATTCCACTCGGGGCTTCCCTGCATTTTGAGGTGCCTAAACAACTTTAAGAATCTGCTCTTAAATGACTGTGAGGCCTGAGAAACCTCTCCCACAAGACTCCCAGCGGCAGAAATATAAGGAAGCACTTGATGTCTATATTAGAAGCAGTTGGAGGGACCTGCTCTAAGGCCTTGTCTACACTACAATTTTGTTGACAAAAGGCAGCTTTTGTGGGCAAAACAGTGGAGGTGTGCACACTACCATGCTCCTCCCATTGACAAAACTTGCCTGCTTGGCCGACAAAAGAAAACAACCTCGATGAGAGGCGTAGAACTTCCTGTGGCAAAGTTAGATCGACGAAAGTGTGTGTTATATCGCTGTAACTGGCCTCGGGGAGGTATCCCACAATGCCCACTGTGCCTGCTCTGCTCACTGTTTTGAACTCTGCTACCCTGCATCCAGCTATAGATGCATGCGCCCCTCCCCCGGGCTGAGCAAGCCGGTTCTGGCAGCAAATGCCCTCCTGCTTGGACTAAAAGGGAGGGGGTGGATCTACTTGGGCTGTGGGGAGAGGAGGCTGTGGGAGAACTCACGTAATCTTGCTCTCCCCAGCACTAGGTCTGCAGTGGCAGACAGGCAGGGTGGGCTGCTACTACAGGGAAGGGGGAGACTCATGCTGAGCCAGGGGCTGATTCAGGGTTTTCCCTGCCCATGTACTGGTCTCTGCTGAGCTAGGGGAACAGGGGCGGACACCAGCTGTCTGTGCAACAGCTTCTGCCTCAGGATTGGTTGTTTCTAGCTGCTGTCTGAACTCCCTCTCTCCCAACCCACACACAGTCTCTCTCTTATACTGCCCCAAAACACAAGCTGGCTCTTTCACTCTCATTCTCTCTAACTGCTGCAGAACAAGGAGCACAGTGGGGACACGCAACAGTGGAGTAATTACAGCGGTGGCTGTATGTCGGCATAACTTGCATCAACAAAACTCTGTGGTGTAGACAAGGCCTAAGTGTGCAAACTCCACTCACAAGCAACCAAACATGGAAGACAGATGTGTGCCTGATGCACAAACAGTAATTAAATGTCCAAGATAAAACACAATGAAAAATGAGATGCATCGATTTTTCAAAGAACCTGTGACATGGAAGAATGTGCTGTCAAAACTACTTTGCATAACCTAACGAGCAATGCGGATCATGACTGACATAAGAGACAGACCAAGGTGTTCAAAAGCAATTAGTAATATGGGGGGGGGCTGACTTTCAGAAAGTCCAGATCACCCACCCTTTGGAAATCAGGCCTCTATTAAGGTGTCAAATTGGGTAGTAGTCAGAATCAATAATTTTGAAAATCTTGGCTTAAAAGCTGTTAAAGCATAATTTAGAACTAAAATGGATACTTTGGAACAGTGACATAAAGATATTGAAACTGTGTGAAAAGAACTTCTGGGAACAGGAGGAAGAAATTCTTTGAGTAGATAGTGCACTGGATCCCACTCAGGGGATCAAAACTAAAACACAGGGCATAACCCTGTTCTGGCCATCACATAGCCACCTCTGACAGATACCTGAAAGGTTTTTGTCTCTCACTTTTGTGCCAATTAAGTCTGAGTTAATGAACTGATACACTCCTTTGGAAGGGCAAGGACAAAAGGGAGTTTTGAAGAATTGTCCCTGATCACCTTAAAGAGAAGGAAGCTCAGCAGAATCACCAAAGCACTGTACCAGACCAATATAAAACACCTGTGCGTAGACAGTTTTCCATTCAAGTTTAACAGAAAATGGCTATTGTGTTGTCATGGAAATTTCTGCAGCAAATGTCAATTTTTGCAAGTTTTCAGGTTTTGGCAGGCAACATGTTTGGGTTTTTGTGTGTCTGGTTTTCAGCAAACAAAGAACAAAATGTTGGAATGTCCTGAAGGTTTTCTACCAAAACATTTCACCTATCAACTGCATTTTTTTCAGTTTTGGTTTGTGAAAATTGAAAAGGTTTTTAGATTAAAATTTAAACATTTCCACAGAAAAAAGTTTGACTAAAACAAATTTAAGTTTTATCCAAATTTTTCACAGGGAAAAAAAATCATTCCCCAGCCATTCTACTTTTTGGGGATCCCTTTTATAAGCTCTGCTTCTCTAATGACAATCAAGATTTCCCTTTCAGAATGATTACTAAAGGAGAAAAAAAGAAAAGGAGTACTTGTGGCACCTTAAAGACTAACCAATTTATTTGAGCATAAGCTTTTGTGAGCTACAGCATCCGATGAAGTGAGCTGTAGCTTACGCTCAAATAAATGGGTTAGTCTCTAAGGTGCCACAAGTCCTCCTGTTCTTTTTGCGAATACAGACTAACACGGCTGCTACTCTAAAGAAGAAAAATTGCTACATGAACCATGGTCACATTGTGTGATAGGGCAGGAAATGGGACAAGTAGAAGTTCTGTCCATGCAGCAGCAGGTCAAGTCTCAAAGGACCAGGAAGACACCTTTGGAAGAGAGCATATTGCTCTGAATAAGGAAGATGCATGAAAAGAGTGTGAAGTGGGAGTCTATATCCTGGCAACCAGGTGAGGTAAAGCTAGAAAAATCAAATCCTTGGAGTATGATGGAACTCGCTTTATCTTTTTTAGTTACAGATTATTTGCATTTGGGTTGCTGATCTAGACATGGTAATCCAGGGACAGCCCTCTGTAGGGAGAGGGAACTAATTATATGCTTACTGACAGCTACTCAGAATAGGAGTTGTATAATCCATGGACAAACATGACGACTAACATTTTACTATTAGAATAATTTGTTTTAATAAAAAATTAAGAAGACTCTCACTGATAATGATAGGTTTATTTGAATGGGTCTTGTGGGGTGAGAGAAACAAAACGAAGTTTATGAAAGCACTGTAGGGCAGATTTGCTGTGGCTAGGTAATGAAAGCACACCTTATGTGCCAAGGTGGGAGAGGCAGTAGACAGCTGATTCACAACTGAAATGTGTCTGTAGAATCAGTGTCCATGGACAGGCAGTAGTGCCCAACATGAAGAAAAGATTCCCAGGAATGGATGATAATCACGTGGGCGCACGGAGTTAGGGAGGGAGCAAAAACAGGGTCCAGATTTGCAGTAAAAGCACCCAAAACATACTTCTTAATATCTTTGGAATACGGATGGAAAAAGTTTATACTTGCATTAGCAGCCAACTGAATAGTGGTAAGAATGAAAACAACTGACTTGGAAAAAGAAACTTACAGCATCCAAACAATACATCATTTGTGTCAATAGCGATCCCCAAATTTCAGTGACTTACCCTTAAAGTCAGAGGCTTGAACTAGCCTCAATTTTTTTCTTAGATTTCAAGATCTTCAGTGCAGTGATGTCTTCATGTGTTTGTAAAGTACTGAGCACTAGAGTACCCTGATCCTGACTGGGGCCTCTGGGCACCACTGGTACAAAAATATTACACAATAGTAAAACAAGATTTGGCTGAATTTAAAAGAAATGCGTTCAGAAATAAAATTGATGTACAAAGTATCTTAACTTGAAGATAGAAAAATAGAACTGCATCTGAACATTGTTCCTAAGATGAGAAAGTACTTTTTTATTCGTAATAACACAAAATTATGACAAAATGCTCAGGGCTACATCTTACTCTTAATAGTAATCAAATGTAATCCTTTCAAATAGGAAGTATTTTTCTCTCTTAAAGACATGCTACTTGCATTTCCCTGCTAATACAGTTGCCAGATTCCCTGGATAACTGCAAGAACTTCTAAGCAGTAGTTTCATTTTCCCCTTCAAATTTCAGAAAAGTATATATTTTAAACCCTTGCACAGTTCCTTAGTTAAGTGTTTCATTTGTGTGAAATTGATGAGACACCAAAAAAAAAAAAAAAGTTCTACATTAATTTTGTAGCAGGCTTGCAGTCCTTTTTTTACTGTTGGAAAAATTCTGACAGTCACACTGGAAAATATAGAGTCATTGAATACTAATGCTGTTTCCTTTAGAATCACTGTAGGAGGGAGTTGTTCAATACTTACCAAAAGTGTTATGTTAAAATTATAATGAGCAGATACTTAGACTTTTGACATTCATCCCAACAGGATTTACTGAAGTAAAACAATTTATAGCTAATAAGAAGTCAGTGTGTGTGTGGTTACATATGTTCTGAATGTTTTCATTTAATATCTGGGAATCTCTCCGGATAGCCTAAGTTTGAAATCATTAAGTGTTTGTCCTTTTAAAATAACATTCTAAAAGGGAGATGACATTAGAGCAGTTGCAGCTAATCAAGATGCCCTCACTTGTGTATTCAGTCTGACTGGTTAATGTTACTCCAGATCTTAGTAACAGACCTTAGAAAAGTTAACTAATAGAAACTTACAGTTTGTGTCTGTTCATAGCCAATCATGAGCCAGCATTTCTTTTGTAACAATATATACGTTTCATTATGTAACCAATTGGATGAATTCACTTCCAAATGCACCTCAAGAAATTTCTTTTGCAAGCTAACCGTCACTTTTCATGTGTATATTGCCTTTATACCAAATGGCCTTTCAAAAGAATGTCAAAAAATTCTTGTCAATTGTAAAAAGATTGTGGGCAATCCAACAAGACGATCAAATCAGAAGGATATATAATATATAAGCAGACTACAGTAATTTGACTAGAAGTTGAGGAAAAAGACCATTTCTGTTGAGCTATTACATGTTCACTTTTGCTAATGTAATTTTTTAAAAATAAAACCCCTCATATATTGATCAGTGTGTCATATAAATAGATTCATTTGTACCAGATGAATGTCAAAACTCATTGAAAATGTCAACGTATCTTAAAATTGTATGTTGTTAGGTAGAAAATTCTGTACATTCATATAATCTCTTTACCATCCATGTGCAAGTTTAAGATATGTTGAAGTCCTCAACGGGTTTTGACATACTTTATTGTTGAAACAAATGTGACATTAAGATAAATAAACTATAAAGAAAATCTGCATATAACATTCCTTACTTTTTGGGCTGCAGAATAAATGCTAGCCATTTTCAACTCTAAATTAAAAGACTTTTACCATTTTCATGACATTTTATATAGTCCATAAAAATGCATGTATAATAAGTTCACAAAGAGGTTCTAGGTAGCATATAATTATAAAAAACCTTGCATTTTTGATATTCAGTTTGCTAAAAATATGTACTAAAATGAAAGGTAGGATGCAGAGACTGTGGTATAAGTTCATTATCTTTGGTAAAATGTTCTCATTTTATTAATAGCCATATTTGTGCTGATTTCCATTTTGCGCATGGTCTGCTATTACTTATGCCAACAGGAAACATTTAAGTGAATTTAAACAGAATTAGATTATTCAGGACAATCATGACTCTCATCATACATTCTTTTAGGATGTTGCTAGCACATAGGGGAAAAATGAGTGAGTACTACTATCTACTGTGACTTACTACTGCTTTAACACTGTAAAATAACTTTGCTAATTCTTGCCATTAGAAAAAATATTTTTTTTTTAAAAAGGAAGGGGTCAACATGATTCTGAGAACAGTAAATTCTAAAAAACTGAAGTAAAAATATCAAGTATTTTGTAGTTTAATATAATTGCTAAAATAGAAATTTACACTGGGGCTTAACTGAAATGTGATACTATGACCCATCTAAGTAAATAACAGAAGAGGACCACAGAAAACCTCAACAAATCTCAAGATGTTCAAGGGATGGTCAGTGTTAAATGATCACTGCCATGACTAACATCTAATGGAAGGCTTGATTCTCTCACACCGTTGCCATCAACGGCCATCCTGCTTTACAGCAACGTAATTGAGAGGGAAATCAGGTTCTGATTTTAACGTGGCACTCTCCAAGGACAGATCACAAATTGTGAAGTCACAATGGAGTTTGGATGTTCTTCTTTATAACTGATCATATTAACAATGCAAGCTTGACCAGCTGAACCTAAGTTAATCATTCAAGATTACACTTCCAGATAGCTATTAATTACACTAAATCAGTTTGGATAATCAAAGGAATTTTCAATATCCCTATGACATTCAGAGACTCCAGGTTGTGCAGTATTCACACAAACACACCATATCACCACTGCTCACAGGTGGGGACCCTGCAGCATTCAATTCTACCACAGAATCAAATCTTTGTATTTACCTTTTACTTATTAAATATTTGATTTAATACTGGAAACTTTGGAATCATAATTCTGATGAAGAATAAAGACTTAAATGTTTTTCTACATTCCTTGTTTCAAGTACTTTTTCTAAAAAGAGAGAGACTAACAAGCAATGGCAACACAGTCTGCTGGTAAAGGACTTGATTCTGTTTTGTAACCCTATTCACCGAAGCAGTTCCCAGTAGTCATATTGAAGACCATGTAATAACTTACATGAGTAAGGGTGAAGGATCAGGTCTACGGTCTCAGCGTAAAAACACATTGTGTCTAATCAAGTCTTAGTTCTTATAGCAATGGAAATATACATGGGTAACAGTCAAAAAGGAAATTACATTTGACCCAGTACTGACCTCGTGTTATTTTCATTATCATCAAGAACAAAACAAAGGGATAGCTGTAATTACTGTAGTAACCAAGTCAGATGTTTCAATCGTTCTCAATGAACATGGCACTTTCAAAAACAAAACTTGCAAGTTAAAAAATAATTCAGATTCCAAATTATTTATCCTTGATGTTTAAAAGGGTTTAATGCAAAACTGCTCCTGAAGAGCACAATGATTTTTAAAAAGGGTTTTTATTATTAAAAAAGTGATAAAAATGGAAGATGCAAAAGTGGGGAGAGGACTAATACACTTAATACATGTATTTGCACCAGCGAAAGTCATGCTCTTAATGAGTCATTAGTGACTTCATCACTGATCATTTATGGTCTTTATCATGTACAAATGTAGTAAACCACTGCCCACTGTTGCAGTGCCCTTGTATGTGCAACACACGTATTAAAAAGTAACAATCTTAGCGCCCAATATTCCAAAGCGCTCATCGCCCTTTGATTCCATAGTAAGATCAGGCTCCCAGTCTAGAATAAAATATGCTCTTCCCAAATAATTTAGTGGTCAAAGTCTGAAGAATTTAGAGAGCCTGTCACTTTTTTGCTTTCTTGGCTTTTTTCAGTATATCACACTTTTTCCTGTTGGGACGCCGGCATCTTTCATCAATGCTTGGTATACATTCATAATGCCACACTTCTTCCATTTTCTCCACGGGGTAAACAGCTTCAACATAATGACGGATCAATCTGAGTCTGGTGGGATCAAGTTGCTTCTTGTTACAAGCACCTGAATGGTTATATTGCAATCTGAGATTCTCTGGAGTAAAGAGCTCTGGAAAGAGTCTTACAAGAAGCCTTGCAGCAAAGTTTCCCACAGAAAGGCTCTGCTGAACTATCTCTCTTACCTCTTTATCAGATAGCATGTACAGAGAAGGCACAGGGAAGTCTGGAGAAGGAACGACAAGTTCATCAAGTGGTATCTTGCAAAAATCTTTGCTGCTTCTTTCTGGCGGCAGTGGTGGCCCTTCAAACTCTTCTCTGAATCTTTCTGGGTTTATTGCATAGGTAAGAAATTCTCTCCTCTCAGGTCCCGGCACATGAACTTTCCGCTGCTGTTGGTATGTGCGCCTCTGTTCGGTATCCCTGCGTCGACATCTCTCATCAAGCTTCCCAACAAATTCCAATGTCCATACTCTATCGTTCTTTGCTCTTGGGTACAATATTTGCACATAGTGTCGAATTAATTTAATCCTGGTTGGATCAAGTTGTTTCTTGCCTAGTGATCCGCTACAGTTGTATTGCTTCCTTAGATTTTCATGAGTAAACAGTTCAGGGAATAAGTGAACAAGCAATCGAGATGCAAAGTTTCCTATGGACAGACTGCTTTCATATATATTTTTAATTTGTTCCTTGTTCAACAGGTAATCCGGGATAGGAACATCAAAATCGGGAGGGGGAATGTCAAGTTTATCAAAGTCTATGGGCACAAGCCAAATCTTTTTTGACCTTCTTCCTGGCCTTTCATATTCAAAGTTGTCTTCCACTTTTATGATAGACACATCGTCAGGCAAACTAGAAGAATCATTCCAGTCGTCTCTCATTTGTTCACACTCACTCCCATCCATATACATACTTTCAAGCTCATCATTTATTCGCTGGGCACACTGCTGCAACCATGCATCCTCTTCTTGCACATCAGGAAAGTAAATTTCTGTGTACCTTCGAATTATCTGAAGTCGATGAGGATCCAGCTCTTGCTTCCCAGAATCTCCATAGCAGTTATATCTTTCAGCCAGGTTCCTGTGGTCGAAGAGCTCAGGAAACAATCTGTGTAACAAAAACACAGAAAATTCCCCAGGGGATGAAGCTTCATCTAAAAATTCATTGAGATCCTGAGCATCCAGAACATAATCTGAGGTGGTGGCATTATCCCTGTCCAGCGACAAAGCTTCCTCCTGCTCTTTATCCTCAATGAAATGAGAGGACTCTACCTGCTCAGCCTCATAGAAACTGGATGACTGCACACTTTGCTGACTATTTTCCATTTCTCTTTGTGCCCAAAACCTACTGAAAAAGTCATTAACTTGAGGCAAACACTCCACCTGCCACACAGCATTGTTCTTCACAGAAGGATAACAAACTTCCACATAGTTTCGGATAAGCTGCAGATGAAGCGATTCAAGTTTCTTTTTGTTAAGGAAGCCACATGTGCTGCAGCTCCTGTTGAACTCATCATCGCTGAAGAGCTCTGGGAAAAGCTGCACTAGTAACCGGCAAGCCAAATCTCCACCTGAGGTGCTCTGATCCATGATCTGTTTGAGTTCCGCAGCGGTCAGCTGGTATTCTGGGGGAGGTCTGAACTCTGCTACAGACTCTGTTGGGCTAACATGCTTTTTAATTCTGCTGACCTCAAGAGACAAGAGGTCAACTTTGCTGTGAAGCTGAGTCATATTGGAATTCAGGGTGTTGAGTGTGTAAAACATTTTCTGTATCAAAGAATATATGTTGGGATCAGAATCTGCAGTGGAAGCTGTAACAGTGATGGTAGCAGCAGAATCCCTTTTGCGTTGATCGCTCAAACTCCGCAGATGGGAGGGGCTGCTTGGATTGACCTTTTCAAACAGCTCATAGGAAGAAAACTGCTCTGCCCCTGGTGTGCTCTTCTTCTCTGTTATTTTGTGTGAGATGCCATACAGAGGTTTCTTGTAGGATGGAATGGTTACGTCATTGAAGGGTTCTTCTTCACACAGCCACGTTATATTGGGATTCTTGTTCTTGTTAGGCTGCTCTACGTTTACCTGAGTGGGTGACCCAATATCTCGGTTCTTCATGTTTGAAATGAGGCCCTACGAATTAACAAACGTCGTATTAGTAAGACAGTTTGATTTAAAATAATAGCTACAAATTTGTGTTCCACAGGTAGGCGTCATTAAATAAATATGCACTGCCTAATTTTCATCAGTGAACCCAACTGTGCTATATAAATCAAGTTAATAAATGTATTGAAGGAAAACAATCACCAAACATGTTTACAGGGAAAGTATTATTTTACTTCTTTGTTCATGACCTCTGCTATGGAATAACTATACAATTATAATACTTAGCATTTTTACCCAGCGAGCTTTATATGATATCATTACCTCCCACTTTGTGTCTGAGGAACTTGGGTGGCAGAGAGGTTGAGTGGCAGTAAGTCCGTGACAGAGCCAAGAGAGGTTGAGTGGCAGTAAGTCCGTGACAGAGCCAAGAACAGAATTCAGGTTTTCCGATTCCTAATCCTGTGAGCTAGCCACAATCTCACTACTCCCCCCAACTGTATTTTAATGTTTCATTACTCTCCCTATTACCAGCTAATGAGGACACTGTGGTCCAACAGCCTTGACACAGGTGTGTTAATTTTTTCTCCTTTGGCTCTGAAAAACGTATGCAAGTATTTACCCCCAGTGGTCCAATTCAGGGACAACTCTATGATACCAACCCAACTTAAAAACCCCAATACAATTAGTGAAAAGGCCTTTTAAAAATGAAAGAATGATATGTTTCTGAAAGGCAGAAACATTTATATTCATTGAATTCCTCATGGTTCTAAACCAGCCAGTAGTGAACTCTTTAAGAATTCACACTGTAAATTATTTTTAAGCACTGCATTTCCTAACTGTTCCTCATTGTTTGAGTTCTGAAGCAAATGTTTTCATTTATTCACTGTAAATATTTAGCTCATCATTTATTTATTTTTGCAAGTACATGAATATTGTGAATAACTCAGAGAAAATTAAGTAGGTAAGCAACAACAAAAAATTACAATACACAGAACTCAAAAACATGTGAGAATACACACACAGTTTGAATCTGACCATCTTGAATTTTTTCCCCAGCTTGCTATGCAGAATATTAATTAGACACAAAATAAAGAACTTGCATTCAAATATTAAAAAACAATGAAATACTGACTATGGGCCTGAGGTTAAGAGATGATGAGCAACTGAAAGTCCCATCCTAGGATCAGGCCCCTATACTGTGGATCTTCTCTGAAAAACAACATTGTAAAAAAAATGGCAGCACCTTCTTACTCAGCTAATCTGCTTCCTATGTGTATTCACACTCATATCTGCTTACCCTAGTGACAAAAATAAGTTAACACTACTTTTTAGTCCTATAAGCAATGCAGAGCTCAAACATGTAGGGGAGATCAAGCTGGGTTCTATTCTAGCTCATGCATCATCACCAGAATAAACTAAATTCCAATTGCCGTGCCATAACTTGCCCATTTACACAAGTGTAACCCCACTGAAGACGAGTTTATGAACATACTGAAGACCATGAGGTTGCACAGGTGATAAGTGAGGGTGTTAATGGATTCAATTTAGAGTGCAGAATCCTATCAACAGGAATAAGGTTGAGAAGCTTGATTTTCAGATCCCAGCTGATTCTGCAGGGATAGCAATTAGAAACTTTCCTCTCCAGTTTTACTTGTAAACAAAGCACATTTGAAATGGACTAAATGAGATATGATAAACATGGAGCAACACCAAAACGTCACTTTTCAGAGAAGTGCCCTTGTTACGTGGGAAGATGTGGCCTAACTAAAGCACCTGTTATAAGATTCAGTAATACCTAAGCCCAACAGACAGAATGAAGAACAGGGATTTCTGGCTTTTCAAATTAAAAAAAATAAAAATCAGCATTATAAAGAGATTTGAACATATGGTGAAACTTGATCTTATCTAGTAACCTCATGTCTTCAGATGCTGCCCCAAATTATCCTCATATATAAAGAGCACAATTTGGCTCCATCTTTGTTAGAAGACTTGTTATGATAAGCAAATCATTTGTTAGTCCTTTTCAGGTTTCACCATAGTTTTTTTGTGTGTGTGTGTCCAATGAAGCAATAAAACATGACAATTTGAGGGTAGTCCTGATTAATGCTCAGCTCAGGTGAAGAGGCAGGAACAAGGCAGTACCAGGGAAGTGTATTAATCAGCATGGAGCCATCATCTATAGGGCCTTATTGTCCTTCTAAAATGAACACATACAAGTTAACATTCTTGGGGTTGGGTGGGGCCCTCTGGAAGAAAAGAAGTGCTTACGCTGAGAATTATGGCAGATCTCTGTATGTTGTAAGGGCAGCAGAACTTCTGCCCTTTCACTAATGCAGCTCACGATGTTTGGATCTGGTTGTGGGAGGAATTTGCAGATCTGCATTTCAGAAACACACGGTCAATGTTCAGCTAACAGCTAGTGCCACATCTGGGATAGATTTAAGCATTTTCTTGTAATCTGGGATACCTTGTTCTGCCTTCAGAACATTCTCCTTGCCTCCTGTAATAATCTGTACAGATTATATTGCCAGCTGGGTATAGCATTATCGGAAGCACACATGGACTATTTTTGGTGAAACATCAGAATAATCTATTGTGGAACATTCTTTTGTATTATCCATAAGGACCCTGGACTTTAAGCACAGATGTGTGTATGTACTTCAGATAATGCTATAACCAGAGGTCCCCAATGTGGTGCCCGCCAGGGCATTTTTGTGCGCCCGCAGTGCTCCCCGCCGCTGAAATGCCGCCAAGAAGCGTTGCCGTTTCTTGGCGGCATTTCAGCGGCGACACTTCTTGCTGCCGAAATGCTGCCGCTGAAAAGCGGCAGCGGGAAGGTGTCTGGCGCCCGCCACAGTCTTCTGGGAATAGCAGTATGCTATTCCCACAAGAAAGGTTGGGGACCACTGCTATACACAGTTAGAAAGATTATCGGTTTACTGTACTACCAAAAAAATTACAAGGCAGATTGTTCTATTTGAGCTACAGGCACATAATACCATGCTGCCTACACTGTCATAGGAAGCTACTGTATTACATACTGTTGCTGAGCTTTTATGAAATGCAGTATTTTGCTACTGTGGAATAATCTTTCATATTATATTTTAGGACCACAGGCCCAGATTTTGTATTTAGGCTTTGCTCCATTCAGCATTGCAAGTTTTAAGGCTCATTTTCAAAAGTGGCTCAGGCACTTATTAGCCCAAGTCCCACTGACCTACTCAAAGTTTTTAACAACTTGACTTTTGGTCACCGCCAGAACTGGAAAGTAGAGTGAGGCGCACAACTAAAAACATTAGTATTAAAAAAAGTTAGCCTCTCAAATGTTCTGTTAGAACTTCAGACTAAGACTGTGGTTGGTTATTTATTCTAAACATGCTGATTCATCATTAGAGTCAGTCAAGAATAAATTTTCACGATAATTATTGGGTTAGGTTCTGGCCGCATTGTAAATCCAAGGCAACTATCAACTTCAAATAACTTATAGATTTAGAGTGGTGAAATTTCACTGAGATCAGAATCTGTCCCACTTTACATAATCTGGAAAAATTACAACCCTGGTCCAGCAATTGGGTTAACCCATAGGGATCTGATTGCAGGACTGTGGCCTAAATTTCTAATGAAAATACTAACAAAATCTTTACTCTAGGGACATGAGAGGGGGTCTAGGATCACTGTCAGACCCAGTTAATCCAAACCAGTTAGAGAATTTCATGTTTATAAGCATTATTAGAAACAAATAACTGCTTCAGATAAAAACGGTTAATGGTGAAATTTATGCCGTAAAATGGGATACTGCTCACATCATTAAAAAATATCCAGATAAGTGGTATTGGTAAACTAGGCAAAGATTATAGTCATGTCTGACTATGAACAAATTAATTGCTGGTGTGAGTTGATTTAAAAGAGTTGTGCTCTGCTTATACCAGCAGCACATTTGGCCCAAGAAATCTGAACAGTACATCATGCATAGCCACATGTAGAAAAATCACCTCTTGAGTAAAGCGTCTTTTCTTCACACTGGGCAAAACCTCTTGCTGGCTCCCTGAACCATCACAACCAAGTGAGGTCTGTTTCCGTTTGTTGGAATCGTGTAGGCAAGTAACTGAGCCATCCAGTGAGTGTTTCTCAGGAGATCTGGATGTCACGGAGCAGTCTAGTGCTTCATCTTCATTTTCTGTTTCTACTTTCACAAGATTATTTTTTATAATTTTAACTAGAAAGAGAGAAGGTTTAGAACAATCAAGCACTTCCTCCAGAAATTCATGATACCCTTACAACAATATGCTTTCTGTTTGTTCTTCTGAAACTGCTTTTTGAATAGTGTCATTATTATTTATCATTATATAATAGCAACACCTTGAAGCCTCAAGGCCCCAAGTCGGGGCACCATTGTGGTAGGAACTGTACAAACATATAGTAAATGACAGTTCCTGCCCCAAAGAGCTTACAGCCTAAAAGACAATACATATCAGGTGAGTAGGCAGGTAGTACAGTAGGCAGGAGTTTGGGGGAGGGAGAAGGATGATGGGTAACAAAAATAATAATAGGATGTTTTAGCAGTTAACTTTTCAGTCATTGTTATAATCTTTGCTTTATCACAATGCATTCTTCATCTAAATATACAAAGTCTTCATACAACTAGTATTTTTTATCTGACCATAAAATAAACAAGATATAGCATTTTACCTTCGTCATCATCATTGAATTCAGCTGAGTTCATCTTCTAGCCCACTAAAAAAAAGAAAAAAAGACATCAGCAGTAGTTTTCTAGACACAGGGCATGGGTTGTGTTTTCAGCCTTTTGTTAAAAAAAAGGTCAGAAACCTGCTATCTACAACTATTTGCTATCCCTGGACAATATTAACAGTCCTTGGGCAATTTCCTATCTGCTCCATTTTTATTCACATTATAGCAGGCAGCCACTTTTCTTATGTGTTTCCTGGACACCTGCAGATCTGCCCCGCAGCGTACATTGAACAGAAAACAACCTGAGAGGGCCAGAAAAGTAAGATGATTTAACACTCAAGATTTTTTCTAATGTGAAGAACATTAGTTCAGTTGTTTGAACTTTCTGTATAAGGAGAAGTGTCTTGGAAGTGCACAAATGAAAGTTCTCTGAATGGGTTTTTTGGCCACATTGTATTGAGTGGCCACCAGTTATAAGAGCCAAAAAACTCTGGAGGCCTCAGGGCGTCCAACGAGTTTCACTGCAGGTCAATTCCCAGTGTTCAGCACAGCTGAAAAATGCAACACAAACTATTTTATAACTAAGGGTTAGACTAGATGACCCTTGCCGTCCCTTCCCTATGATTCTATAATATGCCAAGGCTGTCTGAATATATTTCTATTAAAAAATGGCTATTTTGATGTGGATTGTGATATTGAAAAAACAGCAACCTATAGATCTACAGTAACAAATGTTTTTATAATTGTTAACTGGTGGCCTCCAAACAACATCAGAATGCTTTTTAAAAGGAAAAACAAAACATTTTAACTGTCTTAAAATGATTTAATATTACTTCTCATGCCAAAATTACCACATTATCACTAAGCTACATTTTTCAATTTTCCTAAACTTAAGATCACAGGTCATTTGTTATAATTCTGGGCATGTCTCAAAAAAGAAGGCTTCAAACTCCAATGAGGACAGACAGAGCAAGCATCCTCACCCAGCTCTCACTAGCCATTTAGAAGTACACATCCACCAACAGTGGCAACCACAATTGGATACCTTTTAAATGAGCCATAAATAGTTCAGATTATCCAGATACATGTCTAGCCCCATAGGCTCGCCTGGTCCCAAAAAAACTTATTTGAAATACATTAAAAACTTCCATAACTACATCGCTTTTCCAAATAGACTTCTTTCACCAAATCATACCCTAACCAGAGATTTTCTGGTTAAACACACACACACACACACATATGTCCCATGAATATTTCTTATAAAACAAAAGAAATTTTGAAAGACAATATACAAAGAATTGCAATTGTAGTCTTATTATCTAATAGCTGTGTACAAAATGAGTTTAAAAGAATCACAAGTACTATTAAAATGCTTTGTATTAAATACAAACATTTGAATACTGTGTAACTGCATGCTTTCTCTTTGTTAGCAGCTGGTAGCTATTAATAGTAAATATAATTAATACATTCAGTGTGAGATTTTGTACATGTGACTAACAGGCACAACACAGAACGCACAGCCCATGGGGAGGTAGGGAGGGTGGGCTAAAGTGCCTTTAAGTCCCCTTTGTGCTCTCCTTATTCTGAACTATTCCAGGACCCCTCCTGTCCTCAGCATACCCCCTATACAAGGGCTTGGAAGGGGGTCCTTGGAGCGTAGCACTCTGCTTTCGCCCTTTTACTCAGCATAATTCTCCCCCCGCCCCCTGGTGTTTAAATTCAATGAACCTGGTTTTGACTCTTAACCTGCCTACATACAAGTTATGCCAGTTTAACTTAGTTTTTTTTACATCACTTTAGTTAAACTAGTGTAAAACATCTGTGAGGAGACACTTAAATTGGTTTATAAATGGCTTATGCCAATTATTAAACCAATTTAAAATTGTGCCACCCCAGGGGTTTGTGCTGATTTAACTAAATCTATTCTAAAATGGATTTTCATTCAACCAGTGCAATTTATGAGTTTAGGCAAGGGCTGTACAATCCTTTCTGAAAAATCCTGAAAGGACAGCGCTGTGGCCTGTGTTCTAGGAGAAAGTTAAATTGAATTGAACTTACCTTGATATCCCATATACGACATTAAACTTCCAGGCCAGTGACTATTAGATTTCATTTCATTTTATTGTAGAAGGCATGGCTTTGGGAAGACACAGCATAGTGCCAAAAATGTGGGAGTGACAAGGAATAAGATGACAGCTGAATGTAGTTGCTGAAAATTTTTTATTTTTTGGAAGGCCCAAGTAGGCAACCAGGCAGACATCCTTACAACAATCACATGCTATATAGGAAGTCTCAGATTTCCTAGGTTTTTCAGGCAGCTTCTTGGGGCAGAACTGTCAGAGATCATGCTGACTGAGAGAGATGGCAAACATAGAGCCAGAGACAGAAAAGAATTGACAAATATAAATATATATAAAGAAAAAAGAGAAAGAAAACAAAATCAGCGTGCAGCCTCCTTCTGTAGGATAATACACATGGAATGATATTTTTCTTCTGTCACTGCTGTTCAAACAACAGGCAGAACACTTCGGGAGAGGTCTCTCCGACTGGAGACAAGTGGGTTGGAAGCAAGAGGTACGTGAGGGTTTGAGAATCATAGTTGGAGTTGGGAATATGGAGAGAGGGTATGTAGTTGCAAAGCCTCTTTTTGAGAAGAATCCTGGACCAGAGCTAGCCAGAGGGAAATGGGCTAGGGAAAAAGACAGAAAACAACAGAATCAAGGAAAAAATGGTGCAACAAGTAATCAAATTGACAGGTTTCAGAGTAGCAGCCGTGTTAGTCTGTATCTGTAAAAAGAAAAGGAGTACCTGTGGCACCTTAGAGACTAATTTATTAGATCATAAGCATCCGATGAAGTGAGCTGTAGCTCACGAAAGCTTATGCTCTAATAAATTTGTTAGTCTCTAAGATGCCACAAGTACTCCTTTTCTTTTTAATCAAATTGAGAAATCCATCTGAGAGGGTAAGTGAGCTCCTGGTTGTTGATTCTCATTGCACTGAGTGTATGAAGGGGTTGAAATGTTGCCTGATCTGTCTTGTTTCAATATAAAATTAAATCTCTCTCCCTCACCCTTTTGTCTCTAAAAGAGTAACTAGTTCTAGAGAAGAATAAACAGATGCAGGGCAGAAAACACTAGTACTGAAGTACTTATGTAACGTGGCCTGGGAATTTGGGTTTGTAGCCATGACTACCAGAGATGGGAACTCAGGGCCATCCACCCTTAGCTACAGTATCTTGCTGGGAAAAGGATCAGAGCTGCAGCTTGTGTTCTCGTTTCCCGGGAAACTGGGTTTGGGAGCATGATAGACAATAGCCATTTCGCATACCAAATACCCACAACAAGAAAACCATACTCTACACTAATGGCCAAATCCTGCTGCTACTGAGATCAACAGGAGTTTTGCAATAGACTTCAGTGGTATCAGGATTTAGCTGAAATTGCTTGTTAAATTTAATTTGTAATTACCTAGCCATTTTGAGTTAAAACAAACAAAAAAGCATCGGAAACTGGTAAACTTAAATTTTTAGGGTTTTTGCTTGTTTGAACACATTTAAAACAATAACTTGGTTCAGGCATTGAAAATGTTTGCTCTTGGTTAAAACGCATTTATTCCTGGGTTTACACGTTGCGTGCAAAGTTTCATTCTGGAGAATTTTTATTTATAAATGTCTAAAAAATAAGCCTATAATAGAAATACTAACACAGTGTTACCCAAAGAACCCACTATTAGCATAAAGGAAATTATTCAGAAAGACAATCAATTCTTACACCTGTGATCATGGGTTTGCATGCTGAAAATGAAGCAAGTATACTTACTCTTGATCTTTCCTCAAATTTGCACCCAAAAGTGCCCCTTATTAAAGGCCTCTGCAGTTTTGTTTCTATTGGAGTCCCTAGCTCAAGTTATCCATTCAAAGAGAAACTCGAAGAGGTGCAATATTCAGATAGATTCAATGTTCAAGGAAGAAGAGGCAGAGCAGTCTCACCATTTGACAGTGGACTCCATCCCCAGGATGTAAGCAATAAGTCATTGAAAAGGATTTCCTAATGCCTGCATCAGAACCTTCTGTTTGAAAACAATTTGCAGCATTTACTTTAATGTAATTAATGTTTAACTCATAAACAACTAAACATTTTACTGACATTATAGCACGTGCCCACACTTTTACGACTAACATAATGCTTCTCTTGGCACTATGCGTTGGTGAAGGTGGCATCATGTAAAGTATGTATACTGCTTTGCACTGTTCCTGTGAGATGCCACTGTTTGTGTAGGCGTTCACATACGAAGAGACAAACGTTCCTTTTTACTAAGCTTGCTATTTCAGTCTTCAAGACTAAGACATATTTCAAAATGTTCAGATTTCTGAAAAGACTTAGCCACACAAGTTAAAAAAAAAGTTTCCATTCTTCTGATTGAGATAGTCTGTAGTTGTTTAAATAGTTTTATCCACTTGTCTCGGGGAAAAAAATTTCTTGCATCTTAAACACGGATATGAAATAAATCAGTACTTTTCAAACTGGTCTGTGAAACACTTGTCCACAGAAAATGGTCTGGTCATATGGCACTGGGTCTCCTTGCTTCCAGCTGCTAAACTGCATTAAAATAAGTTAAATATGCACTAAGTACCTTCGTAATGTTACTTTCCCATTTGAAAACATGTCTCCTTGGTGTAATGCAGTTGATGCTATGGGGCTAAAAATACATTCAGAATTTGCTTTGCTATTTGCTCCCCTGTAATGTTAAAAGAGAAATTATGCAATGAAGAATAGAAGTGGTTCAAGAGACAAGCTATTAAGATGTCCATTCTATGAAAAATGTCAGAAATAAACGTAAGTCTCAAACACTCAACAGTTTGGTATGATATTTTCATAAAACATTACAGAGAAGCAACAGCAAAGCAAGTTCTGAATGTATTTTAGCCCCATAGCATCAACTGCTTTACAGCCAAGGAGACATATTCACTGTCAGGTACCTTCAATTTTATGAAAAAATAATCCTCTGGAGAGAAAGTGCTTACATGCATTCTTAGAATCACAGA